TAAAAAAGGCAAAATTGCATCAAAGGACATAGTTGGGTAGTTTTCAAGTATGATAACTGGTTATTGGTTCAATTGATTAAATCAATTAGTTCGATCCGATTCTCATAACACTTACTTGAATTAACTAATAAGATAATCATATAAAAAACATTTATATGACCTAAATTAAAATTAAAAGTATCATCAAGATAAAAAAGGAAAAATTGCATCAAAGGACATGTGAAAGAAAATTATTATAAATAGAACAATTATAAAGTAAATTGTTGTTAAAAATATAAATATTAACGTATATTTTTCAAATGGTAACTCGTTATTGGTTTTTGTTTACCAATGACTTTTTTCTCATGTCCTTAATGTGATTTTAAAAAAAAAATGGTAACATTGATATTTTTCATTTCAATTATATCGTGTTTAAATAAAAAAAATTTACAATGCTTGCATGCTTGTTCAACCACTCACTTGGCGTAAATTTTATACTAATAGTTATATTAACATTAATATTAATAGGTGTGTAATTGAATCTATAAAAATTATGCAATTCGCAGTACTTAATCAATGCAGAAAAATATGTAAAATTAATATACAAGAAAATTATAATAAATTTTTTTCCCAGATTGATTATGGTTCCATTCCATGTGATTGATTGATGTTGGTTTTTTGACAGAAGTTGAACGGAGTGAATAAAATTTCAACCCCAAATGGAAGATATGACACTGTAATGCCGTGCCCCACACCGTTGGCTTTGCCAAGCCGGTGATCTAAATCCGCGGAAGGTATCTTCCATTTCATGCTTTGACAGGTCTTCTTGGTCTTCCGCTTCTTCTATGTTCACACACAAAGTAATATTTGGGTCTCACTTCTGTCTCAATCTTTCCTGTTTTCCTTCTACACTGCAATCCCTATCCATTTATCTCTCTCCCTCCAAGCGAGTATGAACTTCTTCATCTGATTCTTCCTCCTTCTTCCCACGGGATTTCTCTTCTCATAACTTCTCTCTTATTTCTTTCACTTCACGGAATCACACCTTTTCAAATTCTCAATTTTCAATCGCCCAATCCGACTGATACTTTTACCTCTCCTCAACTTCCTCTTCGTCTCTGTCTATATATATATATATATATGTTCTGTTTATATGTATGTAGTTTCCTCCGCTGTCCATTTTCTCTTCTGGGTTTTACTTTCCTTTTCCCCCATTTGATTCACCTTTTGAGCTCAACCTTCTCGATTCTCCACCGATCAACCTCAATCTCGACCCCATTTGATAGCAGGCGTGATCGCATGAGTGATTGAGAGGCCGCCATCGGAGTGCTGAATCGGGGATTTAGGTTATATGAATGCTTAGAAAATGAAGTGTTTCTTCTTCAAAAAGAAATCTGATAGCAGAAGAGAATCAAAATCGGCCCCGGAATTGCAAAATGAGAGGCAGAGGAACAACCAGGCGGTGAGCCGGATATGCAAGTCGACGAGTTCGATACCGTCGCCGAGAAGCTTGACAGAATTGTACAAAGAGAAAGCCAAGGACAATAATTTCAGAGATTTTAGTTTGCAAGAGCTTCTAGAGGCAACGAATGGCTTCAGTAGGACGCTCAAGATTGGTGAAGGTGGCTTTGGGAGCGTGTATAGAGGTATGATTAGGCCTCCCGGTGGACGAGGCGATCCAGTCGTCGTAGCCATAAAAAGCTCAACAAACATGGCTTTCAGGTACACCTCTCAGTAACTGTTATTTGATCTGCTGTAGAAATGATCGGAACCCTTGTGTTCTTTACCTGTTGCGAATTATATGATACTTTCTTCTCTATTACTATTTGTTAAAATTCGTGCGTGCAGGACAGGCGCTTCTGTAAATTCATTGGGAAATTTTATTGATGTGAAATCGCCTAAAAATGCATGTTAATTCTGTTAGATAAGCATAATAATTGTCTTCATCCCATTTACTAAGTCAGTGCCATATACAAACAGTGAAAGTATAATGTTCATAGGCTTGCTTAACGAGCTTAATGTCATTGAGGGAATGATTCGATATTGCTTAACACTGAAAATTCCAGAATTCAGACTTATGCTTCCGTCTTATTCTGAAAATGATATTGATTACTCCTGACTTAATGTTGGCCATGGCTCCTAATCTCTGCATTTGTTTTTGTTGATGTGTGGCTGCCCAAATAAAATATACAATGCGTATTTTTACTTGTTATTTACGGTTGTTTAAAACTTGTTAAAAGGGTCACAAAGAATGGCTTGCTGAAGTTCAATTTCTTGGCGTTGTTAGTCATCCAAATCTGGTGAAACTTCTGGGATACTGCTCAATCGACGGAGAAAGAGGGATCCAACGGTTGTTGGTGTATGAGTATATGGCAAATAGAAGCCTAGAACATCATCTTTTTAATCCTTCTCTTCCTACCTTGCCTTGGAAAACAAGATTGCAGATCATGATCGGTGCTGCACAAGGATTGGCTTATTTGCACGAGGGATTGGAATTTCAGGTACCTCATTTTGTCCTTTGTAGTTAGAGTTGAATCATTTTTTATAGTCATGAATTCTTTAAGCCATACACACTGGATGTTTCTATAGTGTTGGTTTTTTTCATGATAAGAACTACAGAAACATTATGTCGTAGGAGATGCTAACTTTTTCTTGATATATATGAGGATGATATTTCTGGCTAAATGGGAATCCAATTTCGTGCTTCAGAAAGACATTGAATTTTCAGTACCTGTTGTTTCTGCTTATATTTCCAATATATATATTTAGGTGATATACCGAGATTTCAAAACTTCAAATGTTCTATTGGACGCGGATTTCCACCCAAAGCTCTCAGACTTTGGTCTTGCAAGGGAAGGCCCCCAAGGCGATAATACTCACGTATCTACTGCGGTAATATGATAAACTGAGAATTTTTTAGTTCCAAGTATAACTAATTGCATGTCTTTCGCCTGGAATTATTATGCATTTTTTAGTTTCTTGATTCATGAATAACCAATAAACTATGATCTAAGCAGCAGCATCTCTCTTGGATTAGAAAATTTTGTAGGAAGTTGATGCTATATGATGTTATGGTATGGTCAGGTGGTTGGAACACAAGGATACGCTGCCCCAGAGTATGTAGAAACAGGACATCTCACCTCAGATACTTCTCAGAGTGCAACTCCAGAATCATCATCTCGATCTTCTTTGGGTCGAAGAGGTAAATAAATGTGGTTTTTGGAGGGTGTACTTGAGATGTGGAATAGATCATTTAGCATCACCAGAGATTGATTAATCATTATCGGGCATGCAAAATCAGAGATATTGTAGATTCCCCTATCAGCGGATCTAGAGTTTTGAGCTTTTGGTTGGTTCGAGTTTGTTCAACAAAGCCAAGCCTTGCCTACTTTATAAATCATTGGCTTCATCTTTTTTTGCTCAGTTAATATTTAGAGGATTGGGATGAAGATGAGGCTGCATAGTTTATGTTACAACTTGAGTCCTTGCTTCCACTGGTTTTTCTTTGTTGTAATTCATTTAAGATTTGTTGTAGATTGAACTTCAAATCTTACAGTGAGGGAGGATTTACTTTTACTTTATTTGATAGACCTGTCAACCTGCCACGGTGTCCTCTATCTAGAAGCCATTGATTTTAATCAGTATATTTCCTGTTGTATATTTATAATCAACACTTTGAAACAGTGTTGTAGTTCAAGATTTCCAGATATTTTTTTTAAAAAAGAAAATTGACTTGACACAGGCTAGGTAGGCTTTATTATTTACTCATGTTGCTGTCCGAAAGTGATATTAATTTTGTTTCTATGGGGTGAAATTTTTATTATTATTATTTTGTTTATATCAGGATTAATATATTGGATATGCTGAGATTTAGTCAATATACTCCTATATAATTAGAATATTTAGCCGTTACTTGAACGTTTTGATACGGTGGTTGCTTTTCCTTGAAAATTTCGCAGAATATAGAGTTATAATGTATATAATATATAAATAGTGTGATTTGTTTTAGATGTTATATTATATGCAGATGTAACTGCATGCACGTGGTTAATTGGAAGACATTAACATAATGCGATAGCATTGGTGGAAAGAAGGAGTCTTGTCGTGAACAAGATGGATACGAATTCTTCAGGCTGTCTGACTATGCGGTATGCTATGCATGATACTGGTGTTACGTTATTGTGGGTTAAGCTAGATATTATAATACATCTACACCAAAAAAAAATTGCACTTACTTTTAATATTTAAAATCTATTAAATATGTAAAAAGCATTAAAGTAGTAAAAATGAAGCTAGTAAGTACTGCTCCTAGTATTCTCACAGAGGTTAAAAGTTATTTTTTTCTGAACTGTACACAGAAAGTTACAAATGCTTTAGACTCAGTCATGAGTTAGTTCTATCCTTCAATTTTAATTTTAAAAACTCTTTTTCTTATTACTCTGCTATTTTTTTCATTTTTAGTTGACTGTTAGTGATCTCACATTATAATTTTTTAATTTTTTATTATAAAATATTTGAGTTGAGGGGCAAAAATACCGTTTGAATAGAAGTTGAGAGGCAAAAATATCCTTAACCTATAAAAAATATTAAAAATAGTAGGACTCACTGGTGACTAATAGATATTAAATGTTTTAAACGTCAATATGATAATGAAGGAAATCTTTAAAGGTGAGATACAGAATTAATTCATGATTAAGTTTAGAAATATTTTTAACTTTTTGTATACTGTTTAAGGATAAAAATGACTCTTAACCTTATTCATAAATATGCATAGTCAACCAGCATTTATGCATCAGAGTTTACAAGTTAGTCTCATCATTCTACCACCCGTATTTAGAAGCTGCATGATTCCCGATTATATGAACAGCGTAGTTCTTTTTATTGATTTTTCTTCTTAACATGGGCTTTCAATATGTTTTCTTAATCTACCAAAGGCTTTCCTTATATATTGATGATTATTTATGGAAATAAACTAATAAAGAGACTGGGTTAGCAGGCACACAAACACAACAATGAGATAGTTCTTTTGGGCCAAGTTTCGAGGGCTAGCTCGTCTAACCGGTCTTCTTAATAATTAGATGGGCCCCCAAGATTTTGAAGGCCCAAATTGTGAAAGTTTTGGTTCGTTAAACCTCTCACCGTTAGGGTAGTTAAATCAAGGTATAACGGTATCACCGGAATCCCACCGCCGGTCGGGGCTTAACTGCCATGCACCAAAGTCTTCTAGTAAATTGACAGCTAAAGTAATTTAAGATTCTGTGTGAGAGCTTAGACTAATTCTCCTGTAATTGTATATGTATACAAGAACTGAAGAAATGAAATATGCCGAAGATCTTGCCGGGGTCTTGACGTGCATATTTTAGATCCTTGTATGAGAGAAAATGCTCCTGTAAAACAGAGATCTCACAATATTCAATTCACACCATAGCTACTTCTTGAACATGCTTCTTGTTCTTCTTATTGTGAATCCCTTCCATGTGTCCAAGGTAAAGATCAGTCCCGCGCGAATCATAATCTGGAAGTCTCTGTCTCCGACCACCTTCCGACATGCTCCTCACAAATTCCACGAAATGCCTCCAATTCTCCTCTTCGAACAACCTCTTGTTCATCCTCAGATACGTGAACGACACCAACCCGTTGCCGCAATCCAATCTACTTGTCTCCATCACCTGTCCGTACCCATCCCGATCGTATCTCTCCAACGCGTTTTCCCCGGCGAGCTGTACTCTCGCCGTCCTAGTCGCCATCTTCACCTGACGCACCAGTCCCTCTGGCGAGCAATTCGCGTGATGAGGTTGCTGCGAATCCTTCATCTCCATGCACGTGAAGTTGAAGATGGCTCCGTGTTTCGCTAGCATCTGTGCGATCGGGAGGTAGCCGTCGCGGAATCGGGTGTTGTAGTAGCCGGCGGTTAGCTCGGCGGCGTGCGATCTCGTCGTATAATGCCAATGGATGCCGGCGATTTTGCCGGAGAGTTTTGCTCCGGTGGAATTGAATATCCGGGCGGCGGATTCGAGGATCCTGTCGCCGTGCTCGATCAGTTTGTTGGAGTACCAGGTGAGGAAGAAGCTTCCATAATCGGAGTTCCACGTTCCTTCTCGTCTGAAGAATCCAGTATCTTCCGGAAATTGATTGTATTGGCCGGAATCATGTGGCCCACTTCTTCCCCAATCCTTGTTCCCTATCGACTCTGCCGCTGCCTCCAACGAAGCCCTCATATACTGCGTCATCACATTAATTCACAATTCAGAAATCGAAACACAAGTCCTCATATACTGTAAATTTTTTTCCCGTGGAGTTTAATGAGTTTTATAGTACCTTGTCGTAGCACTGAAATTCACCAATCCCAGGAAACCTCCAAGTTCCATTGGCTTCTGGATAAGATGGATATCTGAGTTCTCCACAAGGGCCCATTCCCACTTGAATTTCCTGAACCATCACCACAGTAATTCATTACTCAATTACAGCTCAAGAATCTTACTTTAATCTCGTGTATGTATCAAGATTTGCTGAATTAGATGTTATAAAACTTACTTGGATAACATTGCCCAGGTAATCTCTGAACCTGTCACGAAAACTAGTCATAAAGTCAGAGTACACCTGAAGAGGCGTCCTTCCTCTCAGAACAGGAATCAAATCACACCCCAAAGATATATACTCAGGATTTCTCCTCCCAGATCTGTCTGTATAAACCAGGTCAGGGTTCTTGCTTATTTCTTCAAGCACCCATGGAGGCAGAGGAATACTGAAAATTGAAACACAGACAAAACTGTCATTAATATAATGTAGCTTCAAGCTGTATATGCATGGAAATATATCTATATATATACACACGCACCTGCAGGAGTCGCCGACATTTCCTCCACACTGATGGAAGGACATGACGACTTGAAGCTTTAAGCCATGCTTTTGAACCATGTGAACAAGTTCAGCGTAGGCTTCCCAGTTATAGTTGAGAGGACCATCTTTTTCTACCAGACCCCACCAAGCGTCCACCATGACTCCTTCTACTCCTGCATTCTTCAGAGCCATCAGACTCGCATTCATGGCTCTTGCTTTGTTCAGAGTCCCTCCCATCGTCACCGTGTCTAATGGCAGCATCACAAACACTGGTACTCTCATTGAATCGTCGTGCTTATGAGGAGCCACCAATGGCGGATGCAGCAGCTCCTCCGTGCTGCCGCCGGCGGTGGCGACCATGACATGTGGTTCTTGTTGCAGCATCCTGCTCTTTATTGCTCTAAGAGGGAATGATGATGATGGTTTGATTCTAGGAAAGCAGACTGTGGAGGAGAAGCAATCGTCCGAGGGTTTGGGAAGTTTGGCTTCTATTTGGGAAAAGGAGGAATTTGAAGAACGTAGTGTTAAGGCCATTTGGGTTTCTGCTGAGTTTCTCTCTGGTTGCTGTGGAAGATGATAGATGGATGAATGAATTAGTTGCGAGACATGGGTTGATTGGCTGAATTTATAGGGAGGAAATGAAGTAGACAGTATTAGTGGGGCCTAGTTAATGAAAAGTGAAAAAGTGCAAAAAAAATATAAATAAATAAAAAAAAAAAAAAAAAAGGAGAATTACAATAAATTTTATAAAAAATTAATTATTATAAAATTTATTGATAATTAAATTAAAGTATATTAATAATATAATCAGTTATCAATATATTTTAATTTAATTATTAATAGATTTTACAGCAATTCTCTTCAGAAAAAACGAGTAGGCTCAGGCAAGTTGACCGACATATGACGATTACGTGTTTCCACATTGACCCTTACGTGTCTCCATGCCATCCATTCTTATCTAATGAACTCAAACAAAGCAGAAGCTCTCTTCTCTGATTAGCCACCAGTTTTTTAGTGGGACCAACCTGCAGTACCTTTTTGAACCACCTGCTTGTGTCTCATGATTAATTTCTGAATTGCATAAATCATGTGACTATGCTTCAAGAAGCTGATACATTTTTTTTTTTTTTTGCTCACCGTGTTTCTTATAAGTTACAAGCCCTGGATGCTGAAATCTGGTCGTAACATGTTCCGGACCCACCAGATTCTGGTGTGTAAAAGTTATCATCTTTTATGAATCTATCCAATTACGGAAACTTCTGACGTTAATTTGCAGAGCATGATGCGATTTTTCTTTTTAGGGGGGGATGATATTTAAGCAAACTTTAAGGATATTAAATATTTAATCAAGAAATCCTAAATTTTGAAATTCAAAAAGGGCTATGGTCCTTGATAGGAATTAAAATTTTTCTGAGTGAATTTCGGCGTACTTATCCACTCCATATTTTTACCTATCCTTAGGTAATTATTTGCTTAATTTTTTAATGGTCATCTTATATACTTTCAATATTTATCTTTCAATATTGAAAACATCTAATATGATTGCTAGAAAAAATTGAAAAATTAAGCACTGAAAATATATATGGAATTCAGATATTGAAAAAAAATAATTAAAAAAATAATTCTAACTAAAAACCATGGCTCTTATATGAAATTTCAAACTTTCAAGGTCTTTAAATATAATTAATATTTCTAGAGGGTCCTTAAATGTCATTCTTCTTTTCTTTTGTTTTTTTTTTTATTTCCATCTAAATGAAACTGTGGCTCCCGGAATGATAAATAATTAGTGGTTTCGTATTGGCAGCACATAATACAACAGACAAACCCCACCAAGTGAGCAAGAATGACATTGATTTCACCATATCCTCCAAGTTAAGCTTGGTTTTCGTGGACGAAAAACATCTCATAAATAAATAAGTAAATAAATAAATCTACTGGTTCCGATCGAGTCGGTACTTTGGATAAGAAAAAAGGCTACAGGACCTCTTTGGCAGGAGAGAATCTGTGGTTGTGAGCAAGTCTCTGCTTTCATTATAATCTTGGACTCTTGTTTCTTCCTTTTTTGAGCCTTCTAATAAAATTCTAATAAGACTGCTCAAATGTAGCGGATTCCTCGGTGTCGACCGATTCTACACAGTCATTAAAGATAAGATTTTGAAATGTCTTTTGTCGTCTCATGAACCATGAAATTCCCATTGTTCTTGATGAGAAGATTAGGAGGACTTCCTAGCTTAGATAACACCGGAATCATGGCAGTCATCAACGTCGGCAAGTGGGTTTTATAAAGTAAGGTGAAAGTGCTGATATAGACAGAATTAATTACGTGTTAAATACATATAAACTACTGGTACTTTCAAGAATGATAACTTCAAAACAAGTGGAGCTGGTTCTCTTTATAATTTATTAGATCCTTTTAAGCAAGAGATTGTATTCAAGGCGAGCAAAACAGAGATAAATATGCCAAGAGACCAACAAATTAGAAGGATAAGTTATTTCCAACATGCATTGGTCTTAAATCTAAGTAACCATGATCGTTTAAGTACAAGATCTTGAATTTGAATATGTATGAGTGCAAAAAATATCTTTGTAAGAGTTATTTCTTATTAAGCCAAAGAATGCTCGAATTTTATCTAATTAAATATTTATGTAAAGAAAGAAGGATAACTTATAGGGGAGAATGACAATATAACATTCCAAAAGAGGAGATTAACGATAGTTATAGATTTTTGAATTTTTTTAAAATAAATTGTAAATATTGATCTACATAATTACTTAAAAGAATTTAAATATGTTTTTGACACACTTATAACTCTTAAAATTGTAATTATTTAAATTGATATTTGCAACTTATTTGTTATAAATAATTTTATTGAGATCTAATTGTCATTAATTTCTTCTTTCAAGACTTAAATGCAATTCTCTCAATTTATAATATATTATAATTTATCTTTCTCACGAGGGTTTTTCTAATGAACTAGGAAAAAGATGTGTATGGAATATTTTGGAAGTGCATGATGTTTGATGGTTCGTAGTTTAGTGCAAGGGAGGAGCCATATTACATTGAGCTTAGCTTTCTCCACGTAATTGATTAGCCTACCAATACATATTTTTGTGGAGGAAAATGATCTCTTATCTTTCCGTTTCTCTATATATATTCCTTTTCCCCACTTTGATAGTTTCATGAACAAGAAACAAAACTCATTTCAGCAGCAGCAAACTATGGAAAAAGATATGCAAACACGTGGACCTTATTAATTCTTGTATTATTATGTTTAATAATGTACACACACACTATTAATCCATTCACAAGTTTTTAATCAGATTGTGTCCCATGAGCAACGTTTCAAAAATCAAATCGGATAATAAATTAAAAAGATCAGTGGATCACAAATCTCATGATTCAATCAATTAGGACGATGGTTGAATTGGTGATATAATAATTAAATAAAAATGATATTTATTTACATATATATATATATATATATTAAAAAAATAGGTCAAAATGATTCAACTATTTCAAGTTTTGGTTTTTTCACTTTAGATATTCAAGAACCATTTAGATCAAAGTAGGCGAACTCGAGTCAATTTTCAGAATGAGTCAAATGATTAAACCAAACTGTTTTCTTCTTTAAATGACTCGTCTAACCGTCCAGATCGGTTCGAGTCTTCAAAGAGTGCCCATGAGCCATTAATAATAAGAAATGATACTATCAACATGCACCAATTTAGAAGCATGCCATGTGATTCATACAAAACAATGCATGCTTGGCTGTGCCCTTTAATTTTATTAATGAATAATCTATAAGCATATTTTTCATAAGTTCATCTCTTGGCTTCAGTGAATTATAGAATTTAATTTATCTAAACTGTTTTTTTGGACAAAAAGTGCTCATTCAAAACTTCTCGTCATCCCCATTTGGATTTATTAAAGTGAGATCATGTTGAGATCCAAAATATTTGATTTTGCCTGATTCGGGCTTGTTTTATACAGTATTTGTCTCTTTTGGTATTTGTTATTGGTAATTAAAATTAATAGATGTAAATAGGTTTCGGCATCTTTAATTTGCATTGTATATTCCCCCAATCCCACTGGGTAGATATTTTGGTAAAGCATATATCATAAGAAATTCAACATGCATGTATATGACTTTCATGAACAGCTTTTTATCTATCACTGTCCCACTTTCATATCTGTCTCTTCCTCTTCTAGATATTTCAATTTAACAAAAATGATATATTCCACCAAAATATATCAAAACGACATATTCCTCATAATTATTAAAGCTACATATATTATTATTACAATTATTACATCTGTAAAAGATATAGAAATCCACACTGCTTAAGCTAGGCGTGTCTTAAATTTACACTATTTCTTATTTCTATATTTGTTTAAGGAGCCTACTTTAATGTCTCTTAGTCTTTTTTTTCAACTTATATAGCATTCTTTTCCACAAAAAAACTTACTTATTAAATATCTCTAGAAAGTAAACCTAGATTATACATGTTATCCCACAAATTAAGAAAAATTAAAGTACAAATACTTGATCTGAGGCCTCATTGAAATTATACAACCATTCCTTTTGTTTTTATAGAAGATTGCGTATAATTAAAATAGGTTATAATTTTGTGAAATTTTAATGAAGTTTAAGAGCAATTTATGTAACCTAGCTATCTTTTTTGTTTCAAGAGAGATATTTACCAAAGTTCTAAACATGAATTGAAACTTCAGGCAATCTTAAAAAAATTTATGATGTCATCACATTAATTTGAAAAATAAAAAACAATATCCGTAATTAGACCAATTGTTTTTTTTAATTGTGATTCTTAAAAAATCATCAAGATCAACATTTATACTCTCTCCGATCAAAAATATAAGATATTTTTACTCCAATCTCACCTTCAATAAAGTAGTTAAGTACTTTTAAACTAATTTTATCTTTTTATATTTACCCTTATTAAACATCCTACAATAAATATAAAACCATTCATCAATAGGGACACTTTTAAAAAAAAGAAGTAATGATTACACTTTTAAAGATTAAAAATATCTTATATTATTAAACATCTAACTTTTTAAAAAATATATTATATTTTTAAAGGAAGAGAGTATATAATAAGATTCTACAAAGCTGTATCATTCATATCATATTTGATTGAGTATACCAGGCCCATATACAGAATTTTTAAAAAGGAAGAGGACGAAACGAGCCCATTGTGAACAAACAGTGTTGGGCTTGGCCCAATTACATGTAATCTGATTCTGAACTCAGGAGACCGATAACCCAAAGCTGAAAGCGGCTTCGAAGTCAATCAAATCCCTATGGTCGTCGTCGACTCGTCTCCGGCGTCCTGATCTGCGTCATCCACGAATCCAAGATGCCAAACTTCAGGCGATGAAATTAAAAATTAAAAATTAAATAAAAAAAGCACACAATATTCTTTCCTCAGGAGCTCGGGAAAGGAAAAGGAAGAGCTAGCGAATTGGCTCACTCTCGCCCTTTGGTTCCTCCGAAATTCCAATTTCGCGGACGCGCCTTCAAAGAACGTAGTTGCAGATATGGCGACGGCCTCGCCGGCACCTAACAACAATAACAGCAGTGCGATCTCGAGCGCCTCTACGACCCCTTCTAAGCCAACAACCCTGGCTGCCGCTGCTAGTTCGGGCCATCGTATGGACATCGCTCCAAAATCGCAACGTGGACAGAATAAGCCTAAGTGCAGACAGTGTGGCAATGTTGCTCGTTCTAGGTAAGTCTTCTCAATTTTCATTCCTCATTTTTTCCACATTTCCAGGAATTCCTTTGTCTAATTCACATATGTGTTGTACTCTTTTCTTGTTAATTGCCAGAAAAAAGAAAGTCTCTTTAGTTAGGTGGCTCTGCATGTGTCGAATTTTCAGTCTTGGGGTGGCTTGTTACTGGGTTTCCATCCTTAGAGCTGTTGTAACGTCGATTGAACCATAGAAGCTGACTAGATAATATGAAATATGCACACAAAATTGCCGGATGACTAATAGGCAACGGTGTATAATAAAGAGCTTGTGGTTCTTTTACATAGTTCAAATCATTGCACCAGGGTGAAAAGTAATCGGGAAACTACAGGTGTTTTGTCACGTTTATTTCATTAAAGGGACTCAAAATTCTGCAGTTGGCTCTTCTTGCGCTATAAGAAGTTATCAGATTTTCAAATTTGAATTTGATCTAGAGAATCGGGATATTCTTGTTTAATGTATCATACTTATGGGTCCAGAGCATGTTATCAATAATTCCTCTTAGTTTCCAGCGGGTTAATTTCTTGAATTTGATGCAGAAGAAATGTTAACCCATTAAGTCAGGAGTTATTTGATATATGAAACCATGTGTATCTATTACCGAAAATATGGTGTAGCTAACTGATGGAGGAAGTATTTCCAAACCCTTAGGTTCTAACATGGTTTCGTTTTCATGGAGTGGATGCATGATGTCGATTAAATATTTCTCTGTTGTACTATGCCTATCATTGGTAGAGTGCTTGAGCTGGTTAGCTCATCCTCATTTGTATCCTTGATAGGTGAAAAAGTCATGTTGGATGCTAGTTATTTGTCGTCAGGAACTACTGAGAAGTGAGAATTGGTCTTTCTGTGTTGTGCATTGCTGTCTCATAAGTACAGAATGAACTGATTCAACTGAACTTCTAGAAAAGGAGGGAGACGGTTCTGGAAATCAGAATCGTACTGTACATTGCCATTAAATCTCATTCTTGTTCTATGTTTTCTGTTTTGGGTTTAATTAATTCTGCAGGTGTCCATGCAAGTCATATTGCTATTGAAGTTACACTGCATTCTTTTTATGGTGTTTTTTTTTTTTGATGAGTTTTAATTAATTCTGTAGGTGTCCATATGAACAATGCAAGAGTTGCTGTTCAAGAAATCAAAATCCTTGTCATATTCATGGTGTGCTGAATTTTCAATTGCTATGCTTTCAAAAGTTTATATTTTCTTTATGAATCTGAATTTGATTATTTCAAATCAGTATATCATCCTGAGGTTGAGCCATGTTAAAATCATATTTTTAATGGATATAAAGATGATAACAATTGCCTGCTTTTGATGTGGCCCTTGGTGTCTCTGCTATCACCTCATTTTGATAAGATTCTGAAGCGATAGAAGAACTTCAATCACTATGCATCTGTTCATAAGCACTAACTGTTTCTAGCCCATCTCATTTACAAAACATCTGTGCTCAATGATAGTTATAGAATGAGTTACTCCATATTTTACACCTAGTATTAGGATTATGGAGACCAGAACATTCTTGTTAAATTTGCTGGGTTGTGTAGTGCCCAGATACATGCAGATAATTCGATCTGCCTTTTCAAGATGGATATGAAATATTTTGGTAGCCATGATTAGATTCAACTGTTATTGATGGAATAAAAAACTAGAAGTCCTTCAGACTAGTGGCATTATGAACACAATTTTACCTTCCGACATTAATAGGACAAAGAAGCAAAATTAAAAGTGGTTGTATTATTGGCATAATGAATAATTTCTGTTTACTTTGCGTAATTTGTTTCTGAAGTTTTTCCAATTATTGTTAACATGATAAAATTTTATTTTATTTGCTTTTCCATGTTTTTGTGGTAAATGCAGTTTTGAAAGCAAATTCTAGTCATTCCGAGAAGACACCAGCTTCTGCTGCTGCTCCTCTTGATCTGCCATCCTCAGAACCATCTCAATCTGGGTAGGTCATGAGTAACAACCAACCGCACTCCTCTCCACCTCACAAGAAAAAACAGAGAAAAAGAAAAATTTAATTTCCATACATCATCGTAGTCTAATATTTTTCATAACTTCAGCCCTGGGTGAAAAGATCAAGAGATATTGGTGAGAAAAATAAAACTCATTTTTCAATTTTCATCTAACATGAAGTGTGCTATTAAATAATTGTTCTAAATAAATTGTGGCAGAGTTCTAAAACTAACATTAACTGGCTTTAGTTTACCGGAAGAGGTTCTAAATTTAGATTTAGAGTACCTCTATTGCTTTTATATAGTCAAAATTTTGTAATTTCTATCTAGGTGTGTCTTTTTTGTTTGACGTCAGGCTTTCATAAGGCAGTTTTTTCCTGGATATTAAAGCTTGTATTCTTACCTCCTTTCTAGTGATTTTATTGATAAATTCACTGGATCATAAGTTGTATAAACATTTGAAGCATCTTTCTGGTTCTTTTTCTTGTTTTCAACTGGGTGTTATCTTTCTCCTCTTAATGTGATTCAGGAATGTAAGTAGAGCAGCATCACTTCGACAACTTTCCAACAGTTTTGCCCAGTTCAATAATTTGCACGTCTCACTTCGATCAAGGAAGCCACTAACCAGAAAGGTGCACAGATAAACTAATGCTCATTTTAGATTAAGTTGTTCTGTGTAGCTGTATGATATTTGGGAATTGTCACAGGATGCTGCAGCTATCAATGAATGGAGACTTTCCAGGTTAAGGGAGTACAAGGAGAGAAACATTGAAGTGGAAAATGAAGCTTTTGACCGATATATGCAGAGCGTGGATTTACTGAAGGAAGTATTATCTGTAGAGTCTATGGAGGACAATACGCCCTCTGTAGCAGATTCAAATCAAATTTCAGTGGAGAACAACAATGAAACAATGATCCAGAACCTGAAGTTGCAGCTAAGATCAAGCTCAATCAGAAGTGACCGTATGAGAATGCAAATACAACAAATTGTGGATGAGGGATTAAAGAAAGCTAAAAAATGGGCTTTGGATGGTCACAACAATGAATCGATTGATGAAGAAGAATCTAATCAAGCTTCAAAAAGGGTCAGGACAGAAAGGCTCTCAGTTATCAGTGATCTTATAGAGAAAATCAATAGAGCCCGAAATGAGGAGGATTTGAAATCGTGCCTGGAGGTGAAGTTGCAACTTTTCAATTCAGACAAAGGCTCTTGCACAATGGAACTTGAAGACAATGAAACGCCAAAGAATAAGACTGATGATAGTAATACTGCACCTGCAAAAGAAATAGACTATTCTCTACCTAAATTGGTTGGCACTGCTGAAATTGATCAAGAAACTCTTAACATCATAGACAAGCAGTTTTCTTCTTTTGAGCATGTGGAGGAGTTATGACCTGTGAGGCAATATTTCTGAATGGTTAGGCGTATCTTCTAGATAGGAGTAGGCATCCGAATGTTGTTGTATTGTTTTTACCCTCGGAATGATGTTGTATTGTTTACTTACTGCATCATAATATGATTAGGCAAAATCCTATTTAAGTTATTTGTTTATTTATATTTTTGCACAACCTGTCTAAAGAAATCAATTTTGTCCCTAATGACCACACCACAACTGTGTTATGGGCTGTATGACAGTCACTTGAAAACTGATCTAGTGGTGTTCTTCAAGTTTCCACTAGTGGCCGAGTCTTGAATTGAGAAACTATGATCATTTAACTTGTTACAGGCAGTTGTGTTTAAGAAGTCAAATTTGTTGATCTGAAAACGGAGGCACCAAGTTTGAACAAGTATGGTGGAATGGTTGTTTGTGGCAGTCCCATTTGATGGAGAAGTGTTGAAACCTAAAGAAGTAATGTCAGCTTCAGAACTGAGAATACCTCCATCCCCATTTGAAGGCTTCTCTGAAACCTGACTTGTCTGAACTGAATTTGACTTTTGAAAGGAACAGATCAAAGCTGGTTGGCATGAGTCATGGAAAGAAGATGGTGGGTGGGACTATGCCTTGATAAAGATTATGGAAAAAAGCAGGCCGTACATATTCCTGCCCTCTGGATTACTGTGTTCCCCACTCTTTCAACTGAAGAAAGAAACCCTCTTTGGAATATGTGCTCTTCCCTTGCATCCTTTTCTTTCTTTATTTCTCTCTTTTTCCAGGCAACCAAACACAATTACACGAGTTCCAGTAAATTCTACTCTCAATGGGGCTACCCTACCACTTGATTACGCATAATTTGTCTTTTAAATCAGCAGGACTTAATAAATTATTGTCTTGATTCCAAAGGGACATCTACCTTGTGACAGATAAATTCCATCTATCTGATCTGTTCATATCAATCTCCTTATTAAAGATTTTGTGGGTTTCTTAATGGAGAAGGGCTTCTCTTGCTTTATTCTCATGCATTACCACCAACAACTTTCTTGGTGGCTATGAAACTTGAAAGTTGAAACAGAGGCTAGGCTGCTTGATTTGAATGACTCTTTGCTAATTTATTTAAACCCGTTATCACGCCTAGTGTGTGTGATTGTCAAGCCCTTGATCATGATAATGATTCTCTCTTATGAGATGTTTCGAGTATCAATTAAACAATTAAAAGAAGAGCCTAGTCAAGGTGGGAAAAAAAAAATGCTCATCATATAATCCATCGCAATGTGGCTTTTATTGAGTATGCTTAGACACACGCACGCTAACACACTCATTTAACTCTCTCTCTCTCTCTCTCTCTCTCTTTGTGACATAAACGAAATGAATTAATGAAAATCCCCATGGAAAATCACTTTCAACTTTCTAGGACATTGTAACTTGCGTGCCAGCCATCTGGAAGTAATGAAAATTCACCAAAGTCTAGTGTTTGGTTGAGGCCAAAAGACTATGATAGTGTAGGTGATGTGACCAGGGTAGAGGAAAAGCCAAGGATATCACAAGGAAATGGTGATTTCCCAAGGGGATCAAATTGAAGGAAGAACCATAAAAAATAAATAAATAAATAAATAAATAATGTGTATAATAATATAACATCATTTTCTGGGACGGTTTGGTTATTTAAAAACCCACTTTTTGGAAAAGTGGGGAGAAGCATGTGTACTGTGCAGCCAATTAAGAAAAAGGAAATGTTTGGTCACTGGAATTATGGGTTTCCCTGTCATTGTGAAACTGATTGGGATGCCATTTCTATGCAATTACAAGTTTTTGGACTGTACACTCCAACCAAAGCTTTTAACGGAAGGGGAAAATAAACTCAAGGGAAATTATATATAGTAATAATCATTAATATCAATATCAATATATATATAATACAGTAAAATTCAAACATTGTGACTCTCAATGAGAATTGATGTTTAAAATTGTTCAAATCTTGCTAGGTATCGTTGGCCCAAAAAAAAAAAAAAGGATGAAGTCCTCTTCATGCATCTTCTCAACTTCTTAATTAATTGCTTCTTTTGTTTTATCATACCTTCCATATCTACACATAATTTAGTTATTAGTTATTAGTCCCTTCGCAACCATAGACTAAAGATGAATATTAGCAGAATAATGTATCCACCCTTCTTATTAACTAGAGTAAGTTCATAAGCAATCAAATATGCGTGTGTATTTTAAAATGTTAGGCAGCCTTTGCATCAGATAATTATTAGTCTGATCTCGTGTGTGTGTGTGTGTGTGTTTTTTTTTTTTGGGAGTGTTCATATAGGTAGACAACAATTCAAATTTGATATTAAACCCTCTTTAGAATAACTCTTGGGTTAAATACAATTTAAATCATTGCATTACAATAAGAAATAATTTTTTCCAATTCAAAATTACTAATATTTGATTATGCTTTCATAAAAGGATTCATAAATGCCTATATAATTAACTATCTAAATTTTGTCCAACTGTGCATTTTAAAAGAGGGGAAAGTATTAGAAATCCTGATGAATTAAAAAGGAAAAAAAATAATTAATAGACATTGATCTTAGTAGAAAGGATTATGCAAGGCTGAGTCAGGAAATTTTATTACAAAGACTAAAATGATAAAGTATATATGATAATTGAAAGAAAGTTAAACACACACACACATTCAATTTTATACATATATAACAAATAATATATATATATATATATATATTTCTTTTTTAAATTTTACTCATTAATTTTTCATTGAATAAAAATTATTAGTTATTATGTCTATAATAATTATTTTAACAATTTCTTTTTCAATATAAATTACTATTAAATTGGTGAAAATTTTATCTTTCTATATTCAATTTAATAAGTTCTATTACTTATTTATTAAATTTATTAGTTAATTCTTTCAATTAATAATCTTAGTAAATAAATATATCAACACAGTAATAATACTCAATTATTACAAAATCTTTATGTTGATGATGTCGAATTATATTAGAATAAAAATCATTCATATAATATATTTCAATAGTTTGATTATTAAAAAAAGTAATTTTTTTAGAAGAACATCTAAACCATAAACTCTTATTTTTTGGATGAGTGATTTTATGATAGATATCAAGCACATAGCATTCAATGTATTTTGATGCTTTTGTTGCAATGCTTGACAAAGTTTATTAATAATAATTCTTCTAATTTATTTCATTAAATATAAAATAAAATAAAAATAAAATAACATCAATACTTTAGGTATTATTTTGTTAAAAATTAGTAGATCCTATATACATAAATAAAAGACTACATATAAAATTAAAATAAAAATTTTATTTAATATATCAAAACTTCTATAACATATCAACTTAAGAGGGTCAAAAATATATAACCCTTACACTTTAATAAAAAAATTAAAAAGTTAAAGAAGCTGTGACCTTACTAATCCCTTGCATCTCTACCCTTAGGATTATGATTACTTTTTTTTTTGGGACAAAGATTATGATTACTTAAGCACAATATAATTCAAGTTCAAGTTCGTGTGTGCCTATGGGAGAGCTATCCTACCGTCAATTAAACTTGCCAATACTCAAATTGAATCAAGTGTTATATTAAAAAAAAACGAAAAAAATTCATATATATATATATATATATATAAAACAACGAAGCACAAGTTATCATGTTACATGGTCCCTACCGTTCTAATAAATCCAGGAACAGCTACAAAAATGTCCTCTCCGAACGACCATGCATGTCTTGTAAAGAGAGTGGCTGGCTTAATCATGCATCGAACATCACTTACAAAATGCTTAATTAATGATTAAAATATTTCTTAATCAAAGGAGGATTCATTAGCACGGTGGAATTATATGTGTCGTGGGATTAATTAGTCAAAGGAGGCAGGTGCTAAATTAATTAAAGTCTTGAAATCCTCATCACCAATTATACATACAAACACACAAATTAATTCATCACAACGCGTGAGATCGATGAGAATCCTTCAAATCAAAAAATCATGCTTTATTTCAACTTCTTTAGATCAGAGACACTAATCTCTATAACACTCTTCTGGTCCTATCATGGGGCAGAAAGAGAAAATTAATTTTGCTCCTATTTACAGGACACTTCACTATTTTTTATATTTATTTTTATCTTTTTGTTTTTATTAAAATGCTAGAAAAAAGTATTAAAAATAATTCTTTTAATCTTTATTAAGAATAGAAGTAGAAACTTATTAAATTTTAAGATACAGTTAATGATACTTAAATTTTTTCTTTATTTTAATAAAACAAGTTAAAAATAAATTATAAATAGGATTGGAAAGAAAAGTAGTATTAGTAGTAATAATAACAACAATAGAGGAAAGTTATAATGCCACCATTGAATCTAATTCTACATGTATATGTTCTTTTATTGCCTTTCTTTTGTGATATATTATCATAATCTTTTTCCCCAATATGGATTTATACAGTTTTGTGAATCTATAACAATAATAATTTAATTAAACAAACAGTTAAATTTAGGAGATTGAGATTTGTCATTTAAAAGCAACCCTACTTGAGTACGTATGACCCTATCGTAAAGGCAAACAAAGACAAAATACATTTTAGAAATTGAGATAAGGATTTGGCAACCCCCAACAGAAAAAAGAAATTCCCGAAGTGATAATTATTGATTAATTAATTAATTTGTATATCATAATACGTGCTTGATTTGAGATTAATATATATATATATATATATATATGATTACATTATTTCAACGATTTGAATGGAAACTACTTGTGATATGGAATTCGATCCTTGTGAACACTACTTTTTCTTCTTTGTAACGCACTTCCGATTAAAAGGGTCAAACATATAATAATTAATTCATAATGACCATATTGTGATCTCCGATCGCCAACAAAGTAAAAGATTGTGTTAGAGACTATTCATTTGATTCGTGTGGTTTATTTCTACAGCATGATGTTGAAAGATTGCTGGCGAAAGACTGAGCTTTGGTACCATAACATAATAAATTAATTGTGGTATCATGCCCTACATATATACATATATATATATATATATATATATATTTGTGTGTAAATAAATGTGCACAAACAGACACACATATGTGGCCCGTTTTGTCATCTTATTCAGATTAATTCCATGTTGTTTTC